TAATGCAGCTTATAATTAGTAAGTTTCATTAATTTTATTATTATTTTCTTTAAAAATCATACAACATTAAATGTTACCTTAAATTTCGGGCTTTAGTTTATTTTCTTATTTAAAAAATATGGCTAAGATTTTTTATGTGTGCATGTTTTTATTTTTATATTTTTCTTAGAAACAAGGCACGATATTAAAATCTCGATCTGTGTATTTATAAAATCTTAATTCAAAATATAAAAAAAAAATAGAATCTCGATCTTTATATTTGTGTCTTTAAAAAAATATTGAATGCTAAAAACTAATTTTTAAATTTATAATCAATCAATTAATATTATTTTTTTTAAAATTACTATGTTTATTTTTTTTATTAATATGCATAGTAAAAATATTTAATTCATATATATATATATATGTTATCATCCAACTCGGCAAGCATTGTTTAAGAGTCCTACACTTCATATTAAGTGAAATTAACCATCGAACCGACATTGTTCGAAGCTGTACTAATTCGGACAGAGAACCGACCTGGATCACCGAAGACCGAAGTCTTGCCAAACCAAAGTAAACGCAAACCGAGGTCTCACCTCTTGAAGCAGGTGACAAGGCACCTACGCATCCCCGCCACGAATTACGAGATTTTTCATCATTCAAATGGGGCCCACTGATCCTGCCGCCCATCAAAAAGTAGCTTTATGAAAAGCTAATGCACAAATCCCGAGATGTACGTAAAAAGTTGCTATAAATAGACTGCCTACAACACTTGTACGGGGATCCCCGAACTCATTAATATGCAACACGTAAAAGCCCATAACGGCTCTTCACCTCGGTTCACCTCGGACCGGGGCCATTGTTGAGTTTTTGTTACATGCTTTACGTCCAAACCGTTCGTAATTATCATCTTAATCACTTGTTCAATCGTTGTTAAGAATCATACGACAACAGTTTGGCGCTAGAAGGAGGGGCCTCATAGGTGATTTAAGGTTAATCTCCGCGTTTCTCAAATAACGATTTCGATCAACCATACCCATAATGTCCCATTCAGAGCATCGTGGTAATACTTCACGAGATGGCCAT